GAGGAACCTGTACATTGACCAGGAGGCTGTTGTTAGAACAGAACAAGGGGACATTGCATGGTTTAAAATCAAGAAGGCAGTGCATCAGGGTTGTATCCTCTCCCCATACTTACTCAATCTGTATGCTGAGCAAATAATCCAAGAATCTGGACTATATGAAGAAGAACATGGCATCAAGATTGGAGGAAGAATCATTAACCGCCTGTGATATGCTGACGACACAACTTTGCTTGCTGAAAGAGAGGATAACTTGAGGCACTTACTGATGAAGACTGAAGAATACAGTCTGCAGTATGGATTACATATCAATACAAAGAAAACAAAAATCCTAACAACTGGACCAATAAGCAGCATCATGATAAATGGAGAAAAGATTGAGGCTGTCAAAGAATTCACATTGCTTAGTTCTACAATCAATGCCAATGGAAACAGCAGTCAGAACATCAGACAACGTATGGCAATAGGCAAGTTGGCTTCAAGGGACCTCTTTCAAGTGCTGAGGAGGAAGGATTTCTCTTTGAGGACTAAGGTGCACCTGACACAAGCCATGATGTTTGCAATCACTTTGTATGCATGTGAAAGCTAGACAATAAATAAGGAAAATCAAAGAAGAATTGATGCTTTTGAGTTGTGGTGCTGGTGAAGAATGCTGAAAGGACTGTGGACTGCTAAAAGAACTAACAGATCTGTCCTAGAGGAAGTGCAGCCAGAATGCTCCTTGGAAGCGAGAATGGCCAGACTTCGTCTCACCTAATTTGGTCATGTTGTCAGAGGGGTCTATTCCCTGGAGAAGGATGTCATGCTTGGTAAGGTGGAGGGTCAACGAAAGAGGGGAAGGCTCTCAACGAGATGGATTGACACAGTGGCTGCAACAATAACAGTAGCAAGGATCATGGAGCTGGCACGGGACCGGGCGGTGTTTAGTTCTGAGTAGGGTCGCTATGAGTCAGACACGACTTGACGGCACCTAACAACAACAACAATAGAGTAGAGGTACAATCCAGGAAAAAGATTCAAGTTCTTTCTCAAGTATACAACCAGCAGCCCTACAAGCTGGCTTTGGCCCAAGAAGTGATGCAACAGGGAAAAAGACATCCTGGTTTTCCGGAAGCTCTGCTCCTCTTCCCCTCCCATTACCCAAGCTCAAATCACATGACCTGCCCACTAACCAGAAAGTCAGTTCTGACCATTACCATAAATCTGAGGATTAGTAGGATCATGTTCCTCATATGTTTGCTGACATCATGTTCACTATTGATTTGATTTCAAAATGAGCTTAACTCTGACTAGATAAGCCAGAGCCACTCCAAATCCTCAAAGCCAGGTATTCAGTACACAATTCCCCATCAGCAACCCCAGGCCTACAGGGGAAATGAGTACTCTGAATAGCTTTGGGGGCTGCAGCCTTCTGTCCACCTGGTCTCTCAGGGTCTCCCCAGTGTCCTGGTCTTGGAAAAATAAGAGCCTTATTGAATCAGGTCATCACAACCCATCTCCACGTGTGGGTTCAAGCACTCCCACGATACTCCCTCAACTTCTCTTTAGCAACCTGTTGGGAACTAACCATCCAAGCTCTTTCCAAACCTCCCCTGATCTATGGCAGCTGTTGACCTACCAGGAAGAACTGATTCCATATGTTCACTCTTGCCTGGGGAGTAGGTACCTTCCCATACTCGCAGCTGTCAAGTCAGATCCAACTCATAGCAACCCCACCTTGGGTTTCCGAGGAGGTAGCACTGCAGAAGTAGATTGCCCAAACTTCCTTCCAAGGAATGGCTGGTGGGTTGGAACTGCCAGTCAAATGCCTTGGGCACTACGCCACCAGAGCTCCGCTCACCCCCAAGGCCTGCCAGCATACCCCTCAGTGCTGATCTTCCCATCAGGCCATTTCTTCACCAGTGAC